CCCCAAAACCCCAAAACCCCAAAACCCCAAAACCCCAAAACCCCAAAACCCCAAAAGGGATGAAATATATTGAAGAATTTAGATTCTTGATTGGTTAAATTTCTTGACAGCTTCTGGATCGTAGGTAGCATCGATATCATTTTTAAATGATTCTACCTTGGAGAAGGAGTCTTCTTCTCCAAGGATGACCTTCTTAGCATCTTCATAGCCCAGCCTGATCATCTCAGTGATGGACTCTTTCTTGAAGCCGAGAGGGATGTAGCCGCTTGGAAGAGGCTTATTCGGAACAACTAGGTATCTGAATTGGACATTTTCGTAACCTCTTCTCACTTCGTCAAGATCACTCATGGAGGTGTAATAGGCCTGAATATCTCTCATTCTAATATAATTCTGGATTGTGTTATAGCCAGCCTCTCCAGCATCCTGAACACCAGAGCAGAGGATGATGTCAACGATGATGTTCTTTTCTTTAAATCCATCTGAGATGCATCTATTGATTCCCGAGGCGTAGTCTACATTCCAAACAGATCCTCCATCGACATAAGTATTTTCTCCAATGTGCATATGTGGGAATGCGAATGGCATGGAGGCAGAAGCAATAATTTTCTCAGGGATTGAGTCCCATTCTTCATTCTCATTGAACCTCTTGATCTCAGCGGTGTTGATATCAACGGCATTCCATTCGATTTGACGATGAACTTTCTTATCAGGGAAGTTTTCTTTCAATAATTTTGTTAAAAATTCGACTCCATTAGCATTGTTAAGAAGCCCTTCCTGGTATAATAAACCTTCAATATAGCCGTATGGCCAGTTGCTGTAAATATCGCTAGATTGCATATTGAGCCAGAGTTCATTCATCCAGTTGATGCACTTCTCTTCGTCACCTTTCTTATGAAGTGCTAACGAGATTGCGTTGATTGCGCCAACAGAGACTCCAGTGACGACATCATATTGGATCTCTTTCTTCGGTAGGAACTCAAGGAAGGCCTTGAGGGCTCCGACCTCGTAGGATCCTTTATCTCCACCACCTTCCATTGAGAGGACTCTTCATTTGCTGCCAAATTCTACCTCTTCAGAAGCGACGTAGGAAATGAGGGTGCAGATCACCAGCAGGCTAAGTGTTTTCTTAGTTAAATTGGAAAGCAAACGCATTTTCTATAACTTAGTTATTATTATTAATATTACTAATGGGGTTTTGGGGTTTTGGGGTTTTGGGGTTTTGGGG